CACACACACAGAGAGAGAGAGATGAATGAATACACGCTTCATAGAGCGGGTTGGCCCGTTGCTGCGATACGTCACAGCGTCCACCATAATGAATGTGGCCTGTCTGCCAGTAAGCTAATACAAGTAAATGGAGGGAATTTCACAAAGTGCCATTCTACAAAGTATATTAAGTTAATACCTGTCATTGGCACATTCTCTCACACACAGTAATTTATTTGGTAATCAAAGAAAGCAGGAAAGACAGCGATCTAACTTTTGATGTGATTATTTAATTGTTTTGGGGGATTTCTTAATAAAGAGCACAATGCCTTTATTTAGTAGTTTTTATGTTGACATTGATGAACAGACACACACTTTTACAGTGTTTTATTCAAGAATATATTTTAGAGTTGTGCCGATCAATTGGCCACCGATCATAATCGACCGATTTTCGTGAAAAATGTATGACCGGTGATCGCCGATCAGTCTCTTGTTGCCGATCACCAAAACCGATCACATTGATCTCACTTCACAGCCTGCTTGTGCAGCTGATCTCCTCTTTCCTTCACACTGCGCAAACACGCTTACATTGGCAATGTAAATTCACATTGCTTAGGATTTACATTGCACCAAATCCTAAGCAATGTGGTGTGGAACTTGAACACTCAGAGTGAAAGGGGAAATTTACCTCAGGGATGAAGCACGTCAAAATGCATCAACACAACGACTCTAATGTGACATTTAAAAAACAAGCACTTGACGGAGTTCGGTTACGTCGAGACTCAATGCAGGAAAAAAGGACTTCCGGAGCGGCCGGTAAAGCAGCGCACAACTATCAATACTAACCCGGATTAGCATCACGGTCAGAAAGCTCAACAAATAACCTGAAAAATAATTTAAGTCTTCAAGCTGGCGGTGTAAGACGCTGGTTCTGTTCTCGTTGTTGAACCGCCGGTACGAGCTGCTGGTAGTAATATTTCACAGACATAGCGCCATTTCTGCTCCACCTGCCGTGAACTCTCAATGCAAACCTATGTTTAAAGCTGTAGCATGTAGCTTAAAAAAAGAAAAGATTTTAGATATTTTAGAAGATTTTAAAACGTTTGCCGTCTTAACACAAGACAGGTAATCTCTGAAAAAATAATTGATCTCCTCTGCCTCCTCTTGTGTTCTACAGAGTTACTCCGCTCAGTCAGAACCAACCAATCAGAACCAGCATTAATCAGCTAGTCATGCTATCAGGAATGATTGTTTATTTTTGATGCAACCTGCGTTTGAATTTGAATGAATGTTTCCTTTTTTACTTGACATTATTTCAGATAGGCAGATTTATTTGACTCGTGTATAATTTATGGTACTGAGAGCCTTACTGTTAAATATTATTTTCCTGATTGCATGTTTTTCAGTTGTCCTTTTGACTCAATAGCTGCTGTATTTTGTCTCCAAGTATTTAGCATTTTTTTATGTCTAAATTAGGTAAATTTATTGGCAGATCATTTTTAATTTTGTCAGATCATATAGTAGCATTTATACCTAAAGGAAAAACTTAACAGTCAATCCAGCTGATCAACAGAGATCAACCTCATTGGTGATCGGTATCGTAATCGGCAGCAGAAGACCTGATCGGAGCATCCCTAATATATTTACATGATTCCATAATTTAATGTACATTTAACATTTCAAGATAGGAAGAAAAACATGTAATTTCTTTTTATCTTTTTGATTTTTTTGGTAAAGAAACTTTGATGAATCCAGTTTGTATTGTAAAACATTAGCTACATATCAAACATTAGCTACATATTTTTCTTACTTTTTTTCCAGAAAAAAAAAAAATACAGTATGATATGTCAACTCTGCTATGGACAGCATAGAAAAAGAGTGAAAAAAAATCTAGCAGAGTAATTTTTTTTATTTTATTACATAATGTGGCGACACTAGGGTATAAATCCGATACTCTGCCCCTCACAGCAGGGTAACCAGAAGTCGTCAACAACGCCACCTTGGGAATTGCACCCAAGGAAATAGATTGACAGTAGGTTTGTAACCAAAGAGAACAAGACTTTTCCAAAAGTTAATTACATTTTATTGTTTCATGTTTGTTTTTAAAAAGAGACAATCAAAACATAAGGAACCACAATAGGAAGGGAAGTGCACAGTACTGAGGCCTACCAGCAGGGGGAGGGCGGTCCAAATGGGAACTGGTTCCTAAAGTAAATGAATAAATCCAAAATAAATCACCCCAAACACTTGTGAACAGGCATTCAATCGTGAAGAAATCCCAACACCGGCCACTTGCACAGCACACAGGTCCAGTCTCCCAGGAGGCCCCTCCCACTACCTTCAGCTCTCAGCCTGGAGACAAAAGGGTGGGGTTAAACAAGCAAATACAAAAAACAAATACTGCAATTTAAACTTGGCCACAGACTAAAATGAGGTTACCTCCAACATAACCAATTAAAAATATCAATACTTTAATAGAATAATCTAAAAGAACCCAAGGCTGCTACCTGCAGCGAGGCTGGAGGCCACACAAAATAGAATGTTCCAAAGTAACAAATTTAAACCAAACAACAAATTAAACAAAGTAGTTACAAAAATGAAAAAGTCAACTGATGAAACAAGGTACCCTAAAAAAAAAAACAATGAAACCAAGCAGTGAAACAAAACAGCAGGGTCTCCAGCGAGCTGCAGCAGTGTCAGAGCTTAAATTAAATCAAAAGGTTAATGGGTGATTTACAGAAGATGGTGGAAGGCAGAGGAAACCATTGTCACCTACCAGAGCTGGATGACTCCACCCCAACCAGAGAATCCTTTCCGGCCCACAGCGGGAGGATCAGCTTTCCAATATGTTCTATATATGAATAACTGTCTTTTGTGTTATGGAGCTGTATGGGTG